ATATTCTATCTGGGTTTTTAACAGATCTTGCTCGGGTTCTTTCGAACCCAGCGCTTGGGTTCCTTGGAACCCCAACGCCTGGGTTCAAAAGAACCCGCGCTTGGGTTCCAACGATTCTTATGCTTCAGTATATTCTATTGTTCCCCCCTTTCCTCTCAAGATTCTTGTGCTTCAATATATTCTATCTGGGTTTTTAACAGATTTTGCTCTTGTGTTTAGTGAGTTTTATATGGGTTTTGTGTTTGTTTGCTAGGTGTTTGTTACTGAATCGAAAACTCATGAGAGAAGGATGGTTGGTGTTTTTGGCTTGATTTGATGTTGTTGATTTATATTATGTTTTAATCTTGCTATGGTTTGTGGTCTGGATTTTTCTTTTTCTTTTTTTTTTTCAATTGATTGTCTTTCTTTTTGCTTCCTTGGAACCCAAGGGCCTGAGTTCCTTAGAACCCAGGCATTGGGTTCCTTCGAACCCAGTGGCAGAAAATTAAAAAAATTTCTTTTTTTTTTTTTGTTTTGTTTGTGAATTTTGTTATTTGATGATGATGATGAAGCCACAAGGGTAGAGATTAGTTGAGATGTTTGGATTTGCAGAAGTTGAAGAAAGAGAAAGGAAAAGAGGAAAGGGAGGAACAAAAAAAAAAAAATTGTTGGAAAGGACCCAAATTGGACTTACTGGCATGTTAAAAAAACTCTAAGTTGGTGCTGACATGTAAATCTATAACGGAAATAACGATACACGTGTAGCACGTGATCGTTTGGCATTAAATTTTACCTCATTTTCCCTAATTAGAAATCACGAAGGGTAAAAATTCATATATTGAAATATAAAGGGTAAAATGCCTCAAATTCAAAAATTTTAAGGACAAACAGGTACCTTTTGCCCGCATTTAGCGGAACAAACTTGCAATGGAGTATTACACGTAAAAATATATATATATATATATATACTCCATTTAATTGTTTTATTTTAATTTTTATATAAATTTTAATTAAATAAGTTTATATGATACAGTAACTAGGTGATAATGAAATTTTTTTGATATGTAGTTTTTGCTAAGTATTTTTACTTAAATAAAATTTTTTTTAATTACCATATTTATTTTATAAAATTATCAAATTAATTTACATAAAGTTAATAAATTAGAATAACTAAAAAAAACTAGTGGAAGTATCTCATTTAACAATATAATTAAAGTTCATTTGGATAAATTTGAAATTAAGTTTTATGTTTATTTATTATTCTAAGACATTAGTGTTTATTAGTTAGATTTTTAAAAATTATTAGAAAAATACTCTAAAATTATTTTGTATCATTTTAATATAATACCATAAAAAAAAGATCGAAAAAAACTCATTCATATCTTAAAAATATGTTATTTTAATTTTTTTTTAATAAAAGCATAATGAAATATAGTTTTTAGAAATTCTTTCTCTTAATTTTTTTTAAAAATCTGACTAATACATTCTTTTTTTACCATAAAATAAAGAAATTAATTTAGAATTAGGTTATTACAATCAATTCAATCATGATTGGTTACTCAAGATTAGGTTATCTCAACTATGTAAAGGGTTATTTCTCGTTTTCTCTCACAAATTTAAAAATCTACTAACAAAACTTTTTAAATGAATAACAAATAAGTTTTGAGATAGTTAAGCATACATTACTTATCTCAAATTAAATTTTCCAAACAAAGCCTAATTTAGTTTGAGCTGCTTACATGGAAGGATTGATAGTGTATTAATGAGGGAATTCAAAATGACCATCTTTGATTCTAATTCTATATCCTTTAAGGATTATGTATGGCTTTTTGGATACTAGTTAATGATATATTAATTGGACTATTTTTTACCATCAACATATTGGTTTGAACAAAAAAAAACTTGATCCTCATTAAATAAAGTTTTAAGTTTTGAATCAGTCAAATCCAATATAATTAATGGATATTAGTGTATTATTTTTTATTAAATATTTCAAAAAAAATTAATTTTAATTTTATCAAATATTTAATTAAAATTATACACATATTATTAATATTAAAAATGAAGTTATTTTTTATTTTTTTTATATAAATGAATAAAAAAATATAATCAATATACTATAAAGCTTTAAAATACGAAACACTGAATAAAAATTGATCATTATCCAATCCATGTTTCTGCAAAACGCGAATAAAAGCATTTTCCCACTCGAGTGCTCAAGCAAATCTTCATCTCAGTAATCCTATTAATTTCTTTTTACTTTTTCAATCTTTTTATAAAAATTGCCCTCGTGCCCATCATGAGTGGAATCCAACCTGTTGTGCCCAGTACTCACACCTCCTAGTGAAAATTACCCTGCACCAAGAAGGAGATAGAAATCATGCACTCTTTTTAATGAAAGTATAAGGTTTCCAGACCCAGAAATGACGCATTTTTCTTTTATAAAAAGGTGAGCTTGAGTGCAATCTAAATCATTCACATCTCCATTTTCTTTCTCCTTGCAAAAATAGCCTGAATTTGGGTAAAAATGCAGACTCAAACTGTTCCCAATTCTGACGAGAAGATGCTAGCAAATTATGTTCCCGTCTTCGTAATGCTTCCGGTAAGTATTCACCCTACCATCTTCCCTGATCCATCTATCTTTTCCCTTTTTTTTTTTTTTTAACTTGAGAGGGTTAGTTGCTTGCTACCGCGGGATTTAAATTTTTTGATTTTAATCTAAAATCAACGTTTTTAATTTAGTGGTACCAATTCAGCCAACCTCATGTATAGTAACTTTTGTTCTCCTATGATGTTATCAGTTGGGTGTTATTACCAACGACAATGTTCTGGAAGACAAGGAAAAAATTGAGAACCAGCTAAAGGAGCTGAGGGACGCCGGTGTGGATGGTGTCATGACGGATGTGTGGTGGGGGATTGTGGAAGGGAAGGGGCCGATGCAGTATGACTGGAGTGGTTACAGGAGCTTGTTTCAGCTGATTCAAGAATGTGGGTTGACGCTTCAAGCTATAATGTCGTTCCATCAATGTGGTGGGAATGTGGGGGATGTAGTTAACATCCCACTTCCCAAGTGGGTGCTTGAAATTGGAGAATCAGACCCTGATATCTTTTACACCAATCGGAGTGGAAACAGGAACAGAGAGTATCTCACCATTGGAGTGGATAATCTGCCTGTTTTCTACGGAAGAACTGCTGTTCAGGTATGAAACGTCTTATTTTTCATGTTATGCAGATGATTTTCCCTGATTGTAGTGCTATTATGCTGAGCTTGTGTAAAGGGTCGTGGAATTGATGCTATTTTCCCTTCCCTCCCATCAGGTGCTTGTTGTTTTTCCTGTGAGAATTGAATTATACTATTGAATTTTTATACCATCTTACCCAGTAATGAGTAAATTTAATTTTGAACACGTTCTTACGAAATTAGCTTTAAAATATTTGTGTTGTATTGATTTCAGTTACATCTTCTGAGTTAATTGTTAGTTCCTTCGCTTCCCAGATAAGATACCAAGTCAGAATCTTTATTTGTCTTTTTAGGTATATAGTGATTTTATGAAGAGTTTCAGAGAGGAAATGTCTGATTTTCTGGAAGCAGGACTGTTGTTGGACATTGAAGTTGGGCTTGGTCCTGCAGGGGAGCTTAGGTATCCTTCTTATCCACAAAGTCAAGGATGGGTTTTCCCTGGGATTGGAGAATTTCAGGTGAGCTTGATTTATACACTTCCTCAACCTCACAATTCTGCCATATACAAATTCATACAACAAGCTTGGATTGCAATTTTCTAACAAATTTCTTGCGCTCTGCAGTGCTATGACAAGTACTTAAAGGCAGAATTCAAACAAGCGGCAAAAGATGCTAGTCATCCTGAATGGGAATTGCCAGATGATGCAGGGGAGTACAATGACACTCCAGAATCAACTAAGTTCTTTAGATCAAACGGGACGTACCTTACTGATAGAGGCAAAATTTTCTTGACTTGGTATTCCAACAAGTTGCTAATTCACGGTGATGAGATCCTTGATGAAGCTAATCAGATTTTCTTAGGCTGTAAGCTCAAGTTAGCAACAAAAGTATGTCAGACAACCTCATAATCATCTAAAACACTTGTAGTACTACTATCTACTGGTATCTTACATTTAAAAAGTTGAAACAGGTAGCTGGCATACATTGGTGGTATAAATCTGATAGTCATGCTGCAGAGCTCACATCAGGGTTTTACAATCTCAATGATAGAGACGGGTATCGACCCATTGCAAGGATGCTGTCAAGGCATCATGCTATTTTGAATTTCACATGTCTGGAGATGAGGAACGCAGAACAAAAAGCTGCAGCCAAATCCGAGCCTGAGGAACTTGTTCAACAGGTAAAAACTTCAACTAACAATCCACTGGTCCATGGTGTGACATATCCATTTCAGCTAAACCATGTCTGCAAAGAGAACTGATACAAATTAAGTTCATAAACTTCATGAAAAGAAACAAACTAATGATAATGCAAAAGGTCTATTATTCATGAGTAGTCATAGATGTATGGAGTTGAAGATGAGTTGATCCTTTGCACATCTGTTCTGCAGGTTTTGAGTGGAGGTTGGAGAGAGAACATTGAAGTTGCAGGAGAGAATGCATTACCAAGATATGATGCTGCAGCTTATAACCAAATTCTACTCAATGCCCGACCTAATGGTGTCAACAAAGAGGGACCTCCAAAACTGAGGATGTATGGGATGACTTACCTTCGTTTATCAGATGGACTTTTGGAAGAAAAGAATTTCAACTTATTCAAGACATTTGTGAAGAAAATGCATGCTGATCAAGTAAGCATCCTCCCAACTGTATTAATAATTAATATTACCCTTGGATTTTCTTCTATAATGTAAGGGTGAGTACCCCTTGTTCTCCTTTTTCTTTAATACAATTTTTATTCATTAAAAAACCTTTGGATTTTCCTTTTTCTAATCAATTTATTTCCTTTTCCAGGAATATTGTCCAGACCCCAAAATGTACAATCATGAAATAGGTCCACTTGAGGCGTCAGCGCCAAAGCTTTCCATGGAAGAACTTCTGGAAGCAACGAAGCCAATGGAGCCATTCCCTTGGGATAAAGAAACAGACATGAGGGTTGATGATGGTGGTGGTTTTGTATTTGCTAATTTGATAAAGAAGTTCTTTTCTAGGTTCAAGAAGTGAGAAGATATTGGTATGATGGAGGAAATAAAAGTAGCTAACATTGATTCAAATAATGGATGAAGTAGACTTGACAGTCGTGTTCCAAGCCATTGCCTCCTGAATGAAAGAAACTACAAATTTTCTCCTGCACATCTTATATTTTGACAGGTCGATCATCTATCTAGTTTGTATAGTAAAAGCCATATTATTTTCACATTATTTTTACACCATCTAGCATATAATATGACAGAACTCTAAAAATTAAGACTCTAAATTAAATATTTATGTTCAAACCCTAAAATAGAGAAAGGAATTGAAGAAACGGAGAGTAATAACTCTATTCAGAACCATGGGCAGTGGTGGAGTCAAGATTTCAGAGGAGGGGGGCAAATTTTGTCAACACCTGAATCAAACTTGTGCCCTTTATTAGAAAAAAAAAAAAACCAAACAAAAAACAAAAAACTTGTTCATTAAAGTGTTATTCCCTTTAGTTTATTTTTGTTTTAGTTGTGTTCCACTTTTGCATAAAGTTTAATTTGATAATTTTATATAATAAATATATGACAATTAATTTTTTCTCTTAAATATAATGCTTATTGAATATTTTCTTTTAAATTGAAAAAACTTTTCAGTGTTATTTATTTATTACATAAAATCATCAAATTAATTAATATTTAAGATAACTAAACAGGATAAGAGAGAGTAACATATAGTTGTAAAATTGTAAACTTTGTGTCTTAAAACAATTAACTTGGCCATTGTCAATATAAAATATACTCTACTTTGAAAGTTTTTGTGATTAATGAATAATTATATAATTGTATTTGTGGGGAAAAAAGGTATAAAATAAAACACATCTAAAAATATATGTAAAAAATTTAAAAACATATAAAAAAATTAGCACAACAAATGACAAAATAAAATAAATAGATTTAACTCAAGAAAAATTTATGAGTTAGAGGTAAAATTTTAATATTTGACTTATAAGAAAATTAAACATTGGTGACTAAAATAAATATTTTAGATTAATTTTAGGCACTACAAAGGTGATAAACTAAAGTTTTTCTAGGAGCAAAGCATGAAGGAGAGGACAAGGTGGAGAAATGTTAAAAGTTCAAAGATTTTCTTACCTATTTTTTAACTAAAAATATTAAAAATTAAAATGCAATTTTTATATTTAATAAATTAGCCTTAAAACTTCTTAATTGTTATATGAAAATTTTGTTTTGAACTTAATACAAGATTTAAAAAAAGACTAATGATGATTATTTTGTAAATATTAAAAATAATTAAGTGAATAAAATAAAATTAAAAAAATTGATAAAAAAGTAAAAATAAAAAATAAAAAATAATTTGAGAGAAAAAATCATATGATGATTGGTTCTAAAATGAAATTCGAGACACCAAACAAATTGAGGTTTAGAATATTTTTCTTAATCTTAATTAAAAAATGATAGAAAACTGATGAAGTAGATGGTGAATTACTGAAACGAAGTCAGAAGTCAAAATCCTCAAGGGCTTAATTGTAATCTTTTGAAACAAAAGGAGTTAAATTGTACCAAAGTAAAAAGTCTAATGGCTAAACTAGGTATTTCCCCAAAAAGAAACTAAAGAAGACACAGCGATGGAGATGGAGGGTATCGATCCCCGTACCTCTCGTATGCTAAGCGTGCGCTCTACCATCTGAGCTACATCCCCGTTTCGGATCCCTGACTTCTTTATTATAGATAAAACTTTTAAAAATGTTTCACACAGGCCATTTCAAGTCTCTTCCAACGATATGTTTGCTTTAGACTTTCAAACCTCAGACTTAAAATGGGTATGAATGGAAAATTGTTTAATATTATCTTTTTACAAAATATTTATTTACTAATACCCTTTTACCTACTTAATTTATGTTTATTTTATCTTTTAATTATAGTATATATAATACCATATTATCAGTGATTCTTAATTTATCATTAAAGATTAACTAATTTTGTTTTCAATAATTTTTTTTATTAAACTTTCTCCTTTTTATTAACTTTTCAATGAACGTACAAAAGCATGAATTCTTGGTCAAAATTCCATTTTGCCCCCTAAATAAAATTGTTGGCCCTGCCACTGTTCTTACTGTCTGCTGATATGAGCTATATATATAAGTGTCCAAGAAGACAAAACAATTGCTAGGCATACATCATTGGCTTCCCGAAAATTTATTACAAAATTATATAAAAAATGATTGTTGGACATTAATCAAAAAGTAATATTAAAATTGTGACATTTGGATAATAATAAAACAACACGACTTTTGAAATATGAAAGGTTATGTCATTTGTTGAATAAATGTTATTTAAAGAGTATGGTATGTTGACGGCAAAAAAATAAAAAATAAAAAATGAAGTCATGAATGTTAGAAAAATGGGAAGATGTGTCTTTTAATAAAAGCTTGACGGAAGAGTCAGGACTACTTGGAAAAGGCATCTTTCACCTTTTCAAACACCATAAATACGTGTAGTCTTCAACT